AGTTGAAGATCCTTCAGTCAGCAACTAACACATTTCTGTTCACACCTTCTAGTTCTGCAAGTTGGCAGAGGCATTGACTGAGTCTTGTTTTCACTCCTCTGATGACCAAACAATTTCACTCACAAATTCCTACACATAGATCAAAATGTTGTGACAAGATAAAGAAGATCAGAAATCACTGTTAATGCAGAGATGGGATGTGAAACAAGGTTTATCTTTAATAATTAAGGATTACAGCAGCAACAGTAACAAAACAGAGAGCAAATCTAAAACCCACCTCCTGCCATACAAAAAACTTTGTTTTTCTTTACACCAGCTGTCATTTCTAATTTTAGGATGTATCTACTCTTCCTCTGTTTTAACTATTATTTGCCAGTCTCTGAATTCACATCTTCACTCATTCTTTCTGGTTCTAACCTACTCTTTCTGTCCCTCTTTTCACAGTCAACTTCCTCATCCTTGATAACACCACATTTCTCAAGAAATTCCAGTTTAAGTTCTTAATTCTCTGGCTTCTTTGCCCTTTTTTCCTCATTTGCCATTCAACTCTGAAATAACCCATTAACTATCAAAACAGACATAATACCAGCTCCTTTTTTGATGCACGGTGGCCTGACATTCTTGGCTTTCTATGAATCATTCCCTCTTCAAGTCACCATTTAATTTCTTTTAGTATATTTATCCACTGTAATTCTTGCGAACTTCATTCAGTAGCAGAATTCCTGATGTACAGGTTATTTTATAAACCCTCCTGTCTTTTTATTTATGCCCATCAAGATACTGATTCCTGACTCTCAGGTTCTACAGCCTCAGTCCTTTGCCCCTCTTTCTACAACATTAATCGTTCTAGCCTAAGTTTTAAATCAAACTCAGATTCTTCTGGTTGAGCAAACCTTCAGCTACTGAATAGGTTGGGACAAATCACATAACCATGCTGAAAAAGAAATTCCCCTCTTTCCTCAGTTCTCTGTACCCCCCTCCCCATCTTCTCCATTTTTCCTACTTTTCTGCACATTATACGATCCCATTACAGTTGTACAGTTGCTCTTCTCTGTTTCACGTTTTCTTTTCTTCTTTTCATCAGCAGGTCTGTTCACTTAAATTGAAAAAATACTGTCTTTTAAATCCCTGTTAATATTATTTCACGAATATCAGCTTTGAACTGTCCTGAATGTACACAGACAATAAAATGCAATCACCATATACTATACAAAAGGAAAATAAAAAATCCCAAAGCATTAAAAATATCTTTAAATATATTTACTATTTTCAAGATTCTTAGCCATTCACTGTATGCATTTACACAGCATCACCACAGAAGAGTGTTCCTTCTAAATAAAATATCCCAGGCATTTATTCCTTTCGCTATCCATTTCTTCAGTTTCTAACTCATAGTGTTTCATGGCAACAAAGTATCGAACAAAAGTTTCCCCTAATGCTTCCCTAATGCACGAATCTTTCTCGAGTGCAACAAGAGCATCTTCTAGTTTCAAAGGGATTGATGAATGTTTCAGATCAGCAGCGTGATTTTCTTCTTGGAGCATGTCATCATACCTGAGTCCTCTCTTTACTCCATCTAGACCGGCAGCAATAGTTGCAGCAAGCACCAGGTAGGGGTTTGCTGTAGCAGAACTTAATTTATTCTCTATATGAGTGCCTTTTCCACCATGGCATTTGACGTTAAAGGCACAGCTGTTATCATTATATGCCCACTTTGCATTTACAGTCTCTTTTGTTTCTTTACTGTATTTAGAAAAAGGCTTACGGCAGCTGGTGGTAGGAGCCATCAAACAGCTGATAGCCGCTGTGTGTGCCAAGAGACCTGATAACCAATTTTTTCCAATATCTGAGAGATCTTCAACTCCATAACCAGCAGAAAACAAATTCTTCTGGCCATTCAAATCCCACAGGCTATGTGACAGAGGCCCTGAATTATAGAACCCGGATTCTGAGAAAAAGCTAGCCACGTAGTTATACTTCTTAGCCACCTCTTTAATGCCTGTTCTAAATGTGAAGGCACTGTCGGCAGCATCTATGCCAAATGCTGGATGAAAAGTGATCTCCATTTGTCCAGGCCCACTGGAAGAAGAAAAGCTCTCAATGTTGGCACCAGCATAATACATTCCTTCAATGAGCTCCTGAATAAAAGTCTGGTCATGGTTATTTAGTATCGTGGCTGCAGGAAAGGATATTGTCTTCGAATTTACAACCTCAGTAATGCCATAAATACAAAATTCATAAGTGAAGGCAGAGTGCAGAGAAAAGCCATTGTCCTGAAGCTGGCTCAGCTGTTTCTTGGCAATGTGCCTCGGTGAGGTCATTAGCGGGTTGCCCAGCACAGTGAAGGAATCACATATCACTCTCGCAGTTTGCTCAGTCCAGGGCAGTATTCGAAACGTTGATAAATCAGGGTTCAGGATTATGTCACAATTAAAATTGGTTGCATTTATGTAATCTAATTCATTATCTTTAGGATTCAGTGTCAGCTCAAGATAACTTCTGGGCATGGCAACACCATGAATTGCTTTCTCCTAAACAGAGCAGAATGACATATTACCAAGTGAGAAAAGAACTCAACAGTATATTTATGCATGTAAAATATATAAAACTCAGATTCTTAGTAAGAACAACAGTATTTTTCTTAAAAGAACACAAAAACGCAGTGATCACTAAAGTGGAGGCCAACAGCCGGATACAGTGTGTCACCCCATCGTAAAAGGCCACCAAGTTATGAAGCAGAACAACCTTCTACAGAATTGGTATGAAAACCCTGGCATCAAGTATCCCAATGACCATTTTTAAAACTTCCATAAAGAATTAAAAAAAGGTCCAACTCTTGTCTTGCATGGTCTTTATACAATTACGAGCATCACCAGTTAGGTGCACACTTTGCAAGTCAAACTTCTATCTACAGTTATTCTATTAGGTTTCTATATCCTCTGAGCGTTTCCTTTACGCTGATCCAAGTGACCACACGAGACAAGACTCATGACAATATGAATTCAGGCTGTGACATCCCTTTAAACGCTATAACACGTACTTCACTGTTTTTCAGATGCAAACTGAAAATTCTCACTTTCTGGACTTAATAAGTTTGGGAGTAAAATGAAAGGAAGCACTTCCAAGTGAGAAATTATTCTAATATTTCAGTATTCCCCTTCTAGGCAGCAAACAGTATAAACTCATAACTGTACTTTCTTTTCCATTTGAACAGAGAGCTTCAGCTTATGCAAATGAAATGTAGATAGGACCCCAAGAAAGGTTCATCTACTTTCAAACAAGCACCTTTACAACTTATCTTGCATTCAAACCTTTAGCTGATGAAAACTGCAATTATGTCAAGATCTATCAAGTGAAATTTGGCTCATGTTCACACCCTACTTTTATTTTTCTAAGGGAAAGGATTACCATCTGAGTGGGCTGAGGAAACAAAACAAACCTGGAAAGGGGCAAGCTCAGAGCTGAAAAAAAAAGCAAAATTTTGCCTATGTAGACGGAAAATTGTTGAAATACTTCAAACTGCATATGGTGGCTTCTCTTAAAATAGATAAATAAATATAGTCTGCCTTCTCTTAAGTAGGTGGCAATTCCATGGCAGCAATTCTCCCTGTGCAACACCCATAACCAAAACTGCACTGTATGGTGAATACTGCTCCAAGATGTCTAAGCTGTCCATTTAACGCTGAAAAGCTGTTGAAGGTGATTACCCTATAGTACTATTCCTTCCTCCTCCAAACCCTCAACCCAAAAAAATGGGGGGAAAAAAAAGGGAAATTACTCTCCATTGCTTTGTGTGTATAGACGTGTGTGTGTTTGTATACATGTACACAATTTTTAGTGTCCAAAAATTTAGACTGTCATGCAAAGCTCCAATTTGTTCAGATAGTAAGTTAAACACAAAAGCTATCTTTGAACAAGCTGATCCAGACATCTGCAATTTGACATAGCAACTGAAAGAGAATTTGCAATTAACCTACCACTCCTCACAAGAATTGAAATGACTGAAGTTTTATTTTGATAAAATCCAAATAACATCAGAGAGAGCAAATTTCATCTAGATGATACAGTTGCAGTTTAGCAGTATTGAAAAGGGAAATAACAAAAACACAGCTTAGGCTTCAGAAGGAACTTGAAAAAAAAGTGCTCTACATCTTTTCATGTTCATATCTTTTTTTTGTGATCATTCAGTAAAACTTAAAATATTCATAGTGATACGTGAGTGAAAGTATAATATAGTTATGCACACGAAGTATCTCAGAAGCAATACACTGAAAAAGCCGATAGGTCAAGGGCACACATGGTAAGGATTGCTTCCTAATGTGGTTCTTATTTCCTGAATCATTAATATGACAAATATTGCTATTAAGTCATCCTGCAACTCAATTTTATTTTCTTATGTGATTGATGACTATAAAATTACTCACAGCTAAGGTGATTTCAGTCACTTTCTTTCAGTGTTTACTCCTTTCTTTTTGCAATTTACTGATGTTCAGTAAAACAAAATCTCTGTAACACATTGAACCTGAAAAGATAATTCTGAGGGAAGATACTATTAGAAGTTCAAACAACAGAAATTACTAGCCTTATTTGTTAGATTACTATTTGGGGAAACAGACAAATAGATTGCAGTGATGAAAAATGTCCACGTCCCTTGGGAACATTAACAAGTGGAGGGAAAAGATAATTTGTTCTAAATTCGAGTTTCTGCCTGCACTATGAAAAAAAATAAAACCTATATATAAAAATTAAGGACAGGGCCATGAAAACACATAAAGGTACAGCCAGAAACCAAAAAACTTACATGAAAAAAGCGAGAAGGAACATTCTTTGATCTTGACACACCGTGGAGGTCTATCGATTCAAATCTGACAAACTGTACGTTGTCCCTGGCCATCTGCTGCTTAATAAATTCAATATGAGAGAACAAGTGAAGGAGAGTTGGACTTTCGAGGCTGTTTACATCAGGCTCTCTGCTGGATGCTATAAGTGAAAAGGAATGGTCACGTCAAACAAAACAATAAATGCTGGAATACAGGCTGTTCTCCTAAAAAGTGCAATAGTGGGAAACTATGCCATGGAGTATAAAAACAAAAATAAGAAAAAGATATGGATAAGAAAATGTTTTTGTAAATGAACACACTTTTTTTTCCCCTGAGGACCTGTATAAAACCCTTTATTTTTTGGAATTGTCTATAATTTAAGCTTTTTTCCAAGTTGCTAAGAGAACACAGAGGAATCATGCGGTAAAGCCAGGAATTTCTGAGGGATATCTCAACTGGTTTGTTGGGTGTTTTTAGGAGCACCAATAGCAGCTGGATATCTGTTTCCCACTGAAAGCTGATAGAATTCAGATGCTATATTTCTTCAATACCTTTGAAAAGTGCATGAGTACAGGAACATGATAAAAAGGCTACTTGTCTTCTACTAAACCTTTCTCAAGACCCACTGAGGAAGACTGCGGTCTTCTCCACCACAGGCAGCAGACTTTTAAGAAAATTTTATGCATTTATGCATTTGCTGTTATGAAGCTGCCTTCTTAGCTGTGCTACAGCAGCTGTAGGGCTATATAAACTTCTTGACATGAAAGCTGTAACATCTGAGTATAACTTCTGTAATGGAGCAGAGAGCTGGGCACGGTAACTTCCTTTCGCAAACCTCTCGATCTCTCAGCTTGCTTTTCTTTTGAGTATCTATGTAATGTTATTAGTCAAGTTAAACTACTTAAGGTATTAATGTCCATTTGGTAGAATAAACTAACTAGATCAAGGGTAAAATTTGACATTAAGATATGAAAAAATGTGCAAAAATATTTCTTTCTACATTCCTATGAGAATGTCCACCACTCTTCCTGAAGATATGATCAGATGAGTTTTTGCAGATCTTTCAGATCCACAGTGGAAGATCACCGATAGCAATCATTCACCACCACCCTTCAACTGGAAGTTAAAAGCTTTACGCTGAGGCACTCCCCAGGTTGGTAGGAGCACTCCCTATCTCTCCAGTACCAAACTACCAAAACTGGAGCATATCTCTTTTAGCAGTTGCCAACAGTCACATTTGCATCTTTTTGACCTTCCTGTTGCAGCAAATAGGACTGCCAGCTGTGAGGCTGTAAGGAGGTTCTCTAGCTAGCCCAGCACAAGGCTGTCTGATCATTCTCTGAGGAGGCAGCAAACTCATTCACAGTCATATACTTCTTGGAGCCTTTGAGTATTATAGAATCGTAGAACTGGTGGGGTTGGAAGGGACCTCAAAGATCATCTAGTTCCAACCCCCCTGCCATGGGCAGGGACACCCTCCAGTACACCAGGTTGCTCAAAGCCCCATCCAAACTGGCCTTGAACACTTCCAGGAACGGGGCATCCACAACTCCTCTGGGCAACCTGTTCCAGTTACTGAAGCATCCTCCAGCTTCAGGTGACAAGGATACTTAGGTCAGTAAAGTAAGAAGAGGTTAAGTAATAACAGTGCTCCCTGAGGGATGACAGGTGAAAGCACAGCACAAAATTTTAAGTAAGTACAAGAGTCTATAGGAAAACAGAGAAAAAATTGAAAAGGTAGAAGAAAGAAAAAAAGAATTTT